GGGGGGGGGGCACAGTATACATGGTGAAGGGGACACAGAGGCTGTATACAATTTACAGTGGAGGAAAACTAAAGTAGGGGGAGGAGACTTGAGGGTGGTGGGTTATTTTAGAGGGAGTTCAGGGGAACACTCTTGATGTGATATTAAAGGATGATAGTGAGACATGTAGTTTTCTGGGGGAAGTTTCCAAGTAGAGGAAACAGTAAGTGTAAAAGCCCTAGAATGGGAGAAAACTTAGTTTTTGAAGACTACAGATGAACATGGATGGGAGGGTGTGCAAGTGGGGACTGAACACAGAGCACCTTGTAAGGTCTTAAGCTTTTGCTGATACGGGAGGCCATCTCATCATGCAGGCATTGTATCACCTCAGTCATCACAAGGGTGAGAACAGTGTACTTTTGAGAGACACCATTCACATAACTTTTATTACAGCATATTGTTATAATTGTTCTATTATTGTTAAATCTTACACTTTCTAATTTATATGTATGCATAGGTACCTATGTATGGGAAACTTTATCATAAGTATGTATGTATAGGAAAAAACACAGTATCTATAGGTTCAGTACTATTCAGGGTTTTAAGAATCCAGTGGAGGTCATGGGTAAGGGGGAGACTACACAAATTTCCTTTATTGTTGTTTTTCAAAGTTAAATTATACTTTGAAAGCCACACTTAATTTCATTCACTCAATATAGAATGAATTACTGATTAGTTATGTGTAAGGAAAAGTACTAAGTATTATGTGTGTGGGTACCGAATGAAAAAACAAAAAGTCCTATTTTTAAGGACATTACAACCATAAAAGGGTGTTGGACACAGTGTTTATAAGGTGTGCAGCAGTGCTGTAATAGTGGTAGTTCACTGTAATTGTTATGAGGGAGAGAGTATCTCCCCTTCACTGATTTAGACAAGCTTTAAAGAAGAGTTACAATATGAATTAGGCAGACAGGATTTGAAGGGGTGAAGGTCAGTGTACTTCCACAACTGAATTATATGAGCAGATGTAAGAAACAGAAAAACAAGGCACGTTCAGGAGACAGTGAGTAATCCAGTGTGGGTTGAATAATGTTGTAGGGAAACAGCACTTTTAAGATGAAACCTGCTGTACTGCTTTCTGAGTACTTTTTCTTCCATTATGTAGTCTGTAGCTCTCTTTCCTGATGCCAGAAGCTTACCCAGTATATTACAATCCTTGAAAAATGAAGCAGAAGCTGCATGAAAGGCAATCTTCATACCCCTTGAACATCGCACTTTTCCACTTAGGTTACACACAACTAAAAGGGTTGACTAATGCTATATAAACGAAGGAATGGTGTACACTTCTTTCATTTTCTAACCTGGTTAGAGTAGATGATATTTAAGGTCTCTTCAGGGTTAAAACTTCTATAAAAACACAATTCCAGGAAATAGGACAGACAACAATGTGGTGAAGCCCTGGGGAGGAGGCGGGAGTGGGGTGGAGGGTGACAATGGGGGGGAAAAAAGGGACATCTGTAATACTTTCAACAATAAAGATAAATAACTAAAAAAAGATTCCAATCTTATTTTGATTACAGATAAATATTCTTGGCTTACCTTATACCCTAAATATGAGGAACTCATGAAGTTCTTGGAGTAGATACTTTCAAAGAAGGAAGCACAATATTCTAATAATTACACACACTGTGTATGTTGTGGGTCATCTTTGCATAATAAGATAAAGCATGACATTACTGACATCAATTTTCTCATAAACGTGGAAAACAAAATATAATCTAAGGGTTCAGTTCCCCCCCCCCAAGTTCTATTACAGTTAACAGTTTAAACCAGACATCTGCAAAACTATCTGTGAATTGTGTATAAAGTTCCCGTTACCTAATAACTTGAGGGATTAAGGCTTACAAGTGAAGGTTGCAGAATTAGCATAGAATGATTAATTCTTTGGGTAAGGAGTAAGAGATAATAGTGTAAATATCGTTTTTAATAGTGTAAAGCCCTATACTATATTCTTCAAGGTTACTAGGAAAAAAACTAAAGTATATACATATTTAGCTTACCTTAGATTTACTTAGATCAACTAAGTTCTTTAGATCAAAAAGGAACAATTAAATTGTCACAAATTCAAAACTCAAGTAGCTTTGATTATTGAGGTAGTAAATATTCCATCACCTAAAACCTTAGTGGTAAATATAAGGTAAGCACATTTTGCTTTTGTTAAATATATATGCGTATAAATATATTCACATCCTTCAGTAAACTATAAATGGACAAAGCCAGAGAACAGATCTTTTCCATATCCAATATATTTAACTTGAAAATACACTTTCCAGCTTTCAACATATATACAAATTTCTTACCTAGTCTTACATGATGAATTTTCACAATTCAACCTGTATTATTCCAGTGCTAACTACTAACTATTAATTTATTATACAAGACCACTGGTATAAGAGAACTTAAGAATTCATTCTTGGACAGAAAATAAGAACTAAACAGCAATTTCGTCACCCTAAACTGAATTGTTCCTTAGCACCCCCTAATGCTAATGTATAGCAGATCATTAACCATAAAGTATATTCTAGGATTTAACGGACATTCATATAGTTCAAAGTTCCCTGATGAAATCATACTATGCCCATTACCTTCAAAAATAAACACTTAGAATTCTTGTACACACTTTAGATCCTGTTTGGACACTCCATTCAATTTACTGGAATGTTTTCTTTTAATGCTGCATTACAAATATAATACAGAATGAAGGAAAAAAGCTAAATCTCACTTTAAGTAATTACTGATCGAATGGCATTAGGAAAAAGGTACTTTTAGTCAGGGCATGAAATACATGTAAAAACTAAGGCTCTTTTTCAGTTTTTCTTTGAGTGTTTTCAAGTTGAAAAATACATTATAAGAAACTCAAAGATGTTGCCACATTTACTTGAGTGCTTTTGATACTGTAAAAATAAGAGACAGAGTATCACCACAATAGCAGCTATAACCATTGGGACTCCAGAATTATCAAACGAACGATAGGACTGAAAGAGCAGTATGATGCATTTGTCCAAAATAACTAAATCTAAACCAGTCTTCCAGTGTGTCAATATATATGCTCTCTTGGCTAGATGTTTGTTAGAAATGAGCAGAACAGCTTTTCCCTCAATTATAATCTGGCAAAGATGTAAAACCAAACTGCTTCTTTCTCTCTCTCTGTCTCTCTCTGTCTTTTTCTTTCTTTCTTTCTCTCTCTCTGCCAGCTGTGCTGCCCTCTACTGGACCACGTAAGGTATAAAGCCAGCAGGTCAATGAGATTTTGTTTCACAAGATAACACTGTAGGTGCAAGTGCAAATGAGTAAAGGCATACCCCATACTAAACAAATTGAACTTTCCAGAATAAGCTCAAAAAAGTTCCTTTACTAAACTAAACTGACTTTTACAGTGGAAGAACAATCAACAGAGTGCTAATTTTACAAGTAAACAATTTCAGTCATTTTGAGAAATGATAATAAAGACACTTTGTACAATCTTAGTCTTTTCAGGATCTTGGAGGCATATCTGGAACAATAGTTGTAGTACTGAGTATACACTAATGTCAATCATTTATGATGATTTCTGTATTAATGCAAATCACATTTTTGTGAGTATATTTACTCTATGGATTTTTTAAATGCATAAACATGGGTCATAGCAGATAACATGCTGAGATCACATCCACAAGTCTCTTGCCACAAGTATCAAACTTTTCAGAGCTGTTTCCTTAGTGAAGATTCATTTTAGTTATCAAGACCTTTTTCTCTGTAGTTCATCCCCAAGCCTGAGATTTGCAGTAATGTAGGACCAGTTTACCATCACTGCCAAAACACTACAAAAAGGAAGAAAAAAAGCAATAAATTTAATTTTGTTATTCTTTGATGAAACTAAGAAAAAAATGTTATATGTATCATAAATATCCTCATACATGTACACGTTAGTTATCTATAAAGCTGTATCTTTCAAGAGATGCAAGTTGCTATTGGACACTTATCAGTAATCATAATGTTTAATAAAACCTGTCCTTCAAACATCACAGGCATGGATGGGCTTACATATTTTAATCTTGTCCCCTTGCTACATCTCTCAGTGTAATGTATACACTGTTTTCTACTACTAGTGGTGCTACTGTGTAAACTATAATAATTTTTGCCATGAAACTGTAAGAATGTTGAATGAAGTCATCCTTATGTAGTCTTCTTTTAAATTTCTTGGAGGAAAATCTGGATTACTGATTATATAAACAATGTAGAAGAAGTGAATTAGGTAAAAAAAAAAAGACCTTACTTTCCGGGCATACTTCAAAGTCATCTTCTGTTTGTATTATTCATTCCTTAATTACTTAATCACTGTATAATTTATGTTAGAGATATAACAGAAAATAAGAAAGTAATCTCTTTTTTCCTGAGAGGCAATTAAGAACAGCATCTCTTAAAATAATGTTGTGAATTAATCGTACTATTCACAGATGTGCATCTTCCATTAAGAACACAAAGCAGTTATGGTTTACCTCATAGAGGGTTCCAACTTCCTGGTCAGGGGAAGGGGCAAAGGACTGATTCACATAAATAAACTGCAAAAAAGAAAAAAAAAAAGGCGATTCATTTTTAATGGTATCCTGATTAATTTGCATTTTTCTGGGGTCCAATCAGCCAGCTATTTCAAATTCTTTGTCTTCAGAATTGAAGAAAGCTTCCCTAAACTCCTCCTCCTAATTCTCATAAATTAGTCAACTAATAAGATCTTTGTGAAGATTACATCCTTCCTGGAGGAGTAAAAACAGATTTCTTTGCTCCTAGAGCAGTGGTTCTAAGAAATTCTTATTTTTTAAGTATATTTTTATTGATTTCAGAGAGGGGAAGAGAGAGAGAAACATCAATGGTGAGAGTCATTGATTGGCTCCCTCCTGCAGGACCCCTGCTGGGGATCAAGCCCAAAACCTGGGCATGTGCCCTGACCAGACTCGAACCTCGATCTCCTAGATCATAGGTTGATGCTCAACTGCTGAGCGACATCAGCCAAGCAGTGAGAAACGTTAAATATTGTTTTTACAAATAGATTTTGAAGGTTTAAGAAATTATTAAAAGTATGAATTTTCCCAACTACTCATTTTAATTAAAGACAGAATTTTTCCTAACAAAATCTCATACATACAGCCTGAAATCAGGAAACCTAATATTTGAGATAGCCTGTGCATTTTTCCTGGGTAAATGACTTACATGGTTGGAATTTTTTTTTACCGTTATCAGCACTGAAAACTCTTAAAGGTACTGAACTCCAGGCTGAGTGCTACTACTGTAAAGTCACTTGTAGCCAAATAAGATTGTAACATAATTGAAACCTAATGTCCTTATAACCTTGTTCTTTAAAGGATTCATTATTCAATGTTTCAGTTTAGTCTGTTTTTATTCTAGTACAGGTATCCTCTGCTTTTCCAAAATTCATGTTATGAAAGACATACGTAAGTACCAGTTTTAACTAAATGAAGAAACCCTAAGAGAATTTTCGCTTTTATGAAGAAAGAAAAAGTAACGTTCAGCATGTTTTGCAGTGAGTCATAGAAACGGTGAGATTAGCCCTGCCAAGCTTCTTCCCTGGGAACTATACTCAGCATCTCAGCATCAAGCCACCATAGCTTAGGAGTGTGTCTGTGAGCATCTGTGCTTTATCTCAATTTACTTTGTGTATCCGTCAGCAAGATGTGACCTAAGATATCACAAAGCCTAAGAGGGCTCATAAGGGTGTTATGCTTAGCATAAAACTAGATATAATTAAGTGTATTTAGTATAATTTGGTAGGTTATTTTGGGGGATCAGGGTATGCTCAAAATTTTTCCATATAAATTAATGGTAATTGCTTCTTTACTTTATGCCATTTTGGCTTAGAAAAGGTTGCACAGGAATGCTCTCCTTTAGGATAGTGGGAGAAACTTGTATATAAAAAATTCCTGGAGATACTGAAACAAAAGGTCAGTGTCAAAGTAGCTTTTGATAATTTTCCTTTTAGAAAACAAAACATTATTTGCAGGTAACATATCAATTTTCCTTAGTCTGTAGTCCAATTCTAATACTACAATTTGCTGGGCTTAACGTAGTCTTTAAAACAAATCAGAATAAATAGTTGGCTGTCAGACACTACTTGGGTTACCAACTATAAAACAAATATTGCCTACATTTCTCCCTTATGTAATACAGTGTGGTAATTAAGAACAGAGGCTCTATTGAGACAGATCTAGGCTTGATTTCTGGCTATAAATATGAATAATTTTTCTCAGCTGGTTTCTTTCAACAAATATGGAAAATAATAGTACTTATACTCCTTGGGGCAGCTGAGAGAGATAAAATGAGATAGTATCAGTGCCTGGTATATATATTCAATAGGCATTAGTTTTAATTAAATTATTTAAAAGTAGTTCATGAGTTAATATCAATTAATGATTAAGACTGAGTAATGTTCTAACATAAAAATTTTAGAAAGTTAACAGAGATCAGTGTGCATTTAAATGTCTATTTCTGTAATACAGATATAAGAATTTGTCTCTAGGTCCTGGCAGTTTAACTAAGAGTGAACACAGATTTTACTCTTCTGGTACATTTTAAATGAGAAGGGCTCCAGATGACAGTTTTTTATTTCAGCAAACATTCACTGTCTATTATGTGGCAGGGATTCCCCAAGGTGTGGAACTATGAAGATTAATATATCTCCCATTAATGAGTTTTCAGTCTACTGGAGAGGCAGACACATACAGATAAGAATACAGGTAAGAAAGTGTATCTGATAAGGTGTGTAGTACACAGAGATGTGGCATTAGTTTAGCCTAGCAAAAACATCAAGGAAAGCCTCCTCTAAGAGATAATAAATAGGATTTAACTAGGTGAAAATAATAATTAAGACTTTGTAGGCAAAAGTAAGTTTTAGTGTTTAGGGGACACTAGAGTAAATGTAGCAGAACTACAGGAAATCAATGTGGTTTATAACAGGAGTCAGGAACTAAAAGTGACTTTAATTTTTTAGAAAAAGCCAATTTAGCTAGTTTAAAATTCCACAGAAGTAAAAATTTCAAAGTGCAATCTTTTGCTAAATGCTACAACTTGGGAAGATAAAATTATTTTAGTTTTAAAGAATAATGATTATGTTTTTAAATCACCAGTCTATATGTTTATGTCTCTTTAGATATTTTGGTTGTTATAAAGCTCTTTCTCTAGTATATTCAGCAGGAAGGGTTCATGGGAATAACATTCCCTGAGTCTTGCACATTGTTAAGTTTGTGCACTGATTAAAAGTCAGTTTGTTGAATATAAAATCCTTATTTCACAGTTTCTTCCTTTGTATCTTCGCTATCAAAGTTTGATGATAACCTAATTTTCTTCCTAAGTCATGTCCTCTTTCTTTCCCTAGGTGTCCAAAGGCTTTTAAAAAAATTTAAAGTTCAATAATTTTACCAGACTGCGTCTTGATGCTTGTTAGTCAGGGTTGATATTCTTAGGTACTCAGTCTATTTTTTAATGTGTAGCTTCAAATCTTTTTAAAGTAATTTCCTTTGTTTTTGTGTGTTTTTTTAGAATATATCTATTGATTTCAGAGAGGAAGGGAGAGGGAGAAAGATGAGAGTCATTGATCGGCTGCCTCCTGCATGCCCCTGCCTGGGGATGGAGCCCGCAACCCAGGCACCTGCCCTGACCGGGAATCGAAACGCGTTCTCCTAGATCCTAGGTCAATGCTCAGCCACTGAGCCACACCTGGCTGGGCAATAATTTCCTTTGAATTATAGTTTTAAGTATTTGTTTTGTTCTTTTGCTTTGATTTTCTTCTTCAGGGATTCCTGTTATCCATATCTTCACTCTCCTTTGTTCATTCTCAATTATTTGTCACTTTTTCTCAAATCTCTTTTACTTTTCATTTCTTGATTAAAAAATTGTTTTGACTTCTATTTTTTTAAGGCACTATCTGTTGTTTATTTGTTCTTATTCCTTCTAGTTAATGCCCATTTCTGAAATAATTTGTATTTATAATTCTTTTCCTGAGATGTTACTTCGAGTTTTACTAATGCTGATTTATGTTGTTCTTTCATGTTTTATATAATTTCATTAATGTCTTTTAGCTTGTTTTGAAATAGTTATAGTTATTGACTTGTCTTGTAGGCATACTTTTCTGGCATGGCTTTTACTGTTTTTAGTGATGTTATTATTTTTCTTTTTTCTTTTCAATAACATTGTATGGGATTTGACCCTGACCCTTTTCTGTTGCTTTTTTATGAATTTAGTTTTCTTCAACTTTCAGATTGAAGTTAGTGTAGTTCTTCAAGCTCCACAGAACTCCCTCTTCTGTTGTTTTTTGGTACAGTGTCCAACAATACAGAAGCCTGTTTTCTGAGACTCCAGGTTCCATTCCCCTCCACTTTGATCCGGCTTCTCTTTCCTTCCTCCCTCATGTTCCTACTCTGCTCAACTTTGTTGCACTTCTAGAAGCTCCTCTTCAGCATGGGTCTTGTCCTGGAAGGGAAGGAGCCTTACTGAATCTGTTTTGAGATCTCTCAGGGGGAAGACTGCCCCAGCCTCTTCAGGTCTCCTTAGTGAAGACACATGGTAATCATTTGGTAATACATGGTAATCTTTTTATTGGAGAAAATAAAACCCTTTCAATTTCAGCTACTACTCTTAAATTGCCCACTGTACTTCCCAGTGAAGACCTGTTAACCACTTCCAGGTTCTCCCTTTCTCAGTGTTGTCAGATGTCAATCCAGTTGCTTGCTTGCTTCTTTGAACACATTTGCTGATACTATGCAGATCCTGTGGTTTTTGGTGGTTTGTCCCCACAAACTTCCATTTTAAGGTTCATGATGATATTTTGTCATCTAGTTTTGTAAAATACTGATCATGGGTATTTAGTTTTGCCAACTAATTGACTGTGTGTATGTGGGAATTTAGAGATTTAACTCTGCCTTCTGACACCACTATCTTCCCCAAATCCTTGCTAAAATAATGTGGGGTACAGCTAGATGAAAGCTAGAAGACGTAAGCTCTAGTTTAATCTAGAAAAGCGATTTCCTATTGCTTAAATGGAAAGGGACAATCAGATCCACTACAGAGGTTTAATGTTGAACCATATGAAGTTGCTGTTTTTATAGTTTAAAATGACTGATTAATGATAATTTTACATGGTTCAACCTAATACATGTGCATATTAATCAAGTCCTTTCAGATTACTGGATACAGGCAATACAAAATGTCAGGACTCTAACATTAACATAAAATACAGCATAGTTTCATCTTTTCTTAATTACTTGGTACTCCTCTGGCTTCCTACCTCTCTAATTGTTCCCAAAGAGATATAGCCTTTTCTCATTCCTTTCAAGTGTATGTTCTTATTTCCCTGATTTTTCCATTTAGATTTGGACTCTAGGCAAGATCCTCTGCTCCTGAGGTTTTAGCTACCATATGAATGTGGATGACACTATAATCTTCTTGCCCATCTCTGACATTTAATTAAATTCTATATGATACTCATAAAACAGATACTTTTCTCACTCTGATTGATCAACTGTAAAACTCAAGTATTCCCAATTCTTCCTTTGGAGGAATCACAGGGTCTATGCTATTTTTACCTCAAATTATTTCTAGTGATTGATCTATCTTATACTTACTCTTGTACCTACGTTCATTTTGTGAGAGCCACTTACAGCCAAATTCCTATATCAGTATTAATATTGGCCAAGATGTGATCTGCAGATAAAGGTGTCTATTAATTAACATACAGCATTCCAAATTTCTATGGTTGAATACCAAGTTAAAAACCATTGGCATTTAAAATATTAATCTTTACAACTGCAACCATGAAGTGCTTAACATGTACTACAATATGAAATAAGAATATCTCTTAGTTCTTCCATAACATACGGCAAAGATATATTGCTTACCTCAAGAACAGGAAGGAAGCAACACTGATATCAAAACAAGTTCTAAAACCTAAAAGTTCGACATTCAGTGACTTTTTGAGGAAAATCACCAATACAGTAGGTTAAAAAAATTTATCAGTTCACATTGTAAAAGTAAATCTAAAATTCATTCATTTCAGGGTTCCCCAGAGACTCTTTCAATAAAGTACAGAAATTCCAACAAAAAAATAAAAGAATATTACTGAAGTAACATATGTGACTTCATATATATTTCTATATACAACAGTTACTCATTGTTGCCTAGTAGCTATTGTGAATTATTGTAGAGAAAAATTCAGCATTGGTTTCATACCAACTGTTCTGAAGCCACAAGTTTAAGGAACTTTTTGATGAAGTCAATCAGTCCTTGGATGGTTCGGGTTCGCTCAACAGCCCACTTCTTCGTTTTCATTATAGGGGTGTCTCCCACAGCCTTTAGCAGGATATCAACTGTAAAAGGAAAAACAAATTGACAATTACACTAAAACCTCTAAAGTGAATGTGATATATATGAGATTTTAGAAAACTTAAACCTTTAATCTACACATAGTTTATACACTGAGGATACTAGAGGTATGTCTAAGATGTACAAATGTTAGGTAGTAAGATTCTTTTTGGTTTTTTTCCTTGACTCTACAGTCCCAGTAAGGTCTCCCCATAAAATGAATCTTTAAATTTCATTTTAACAATTAAAAAAAGAAAGAAATATAAACGGTCAATAAACAAATTAAAAACATAAAATGTCATGGCCTTTTACACCTACCAAATTAGTAAATATTAGAATAATAATACTGAAGATGATTGTACTGTTGGGAATACAAAATGTTACACCCTTTCTGGAGAACAGTATGGTAATACATTACCAAATACTTAGAGATATGCTTTGACTCAATAATACTAATAATAATAGTTCTAGGAATCTAATCTAATAAAATATGAGATGTAAAAAGATTCACTTAGAAGAATTTCACCTTTGTTGAAACACTCATTTTTATAGGGGGGGAAAATGGTAAACCTAAATATCCAACAAGGATATTTAGAGGGGAGTGGTTAAATAAAGGATGTTAATAGTCTATTATAGAATTTATATAATTCAGTAAAGAACACACTCTTTAAACTCTCCAGGTTCAAAATCCTGGCTCTGCCACTTGCTATATATATGTATCTGGATAAGCTCTTTAATCTCTCTGTGCCACAGTTCCCCCTTTTGTAAAATGAGGATAATAGCACCTACCTCATAAGGTTGTTTTGAGGATTAAATGAGTTAATACATGTAAAGCATTTAGAACATGCGTTTAGCTCGTAACTCAAAATATAACCAAAGGCCAAAAAGTTTCAGTTAGAGAAATTAAAGGTTTCAATAATCCAAAACATATACTCAAACTATGAATCTGTCTCCTAAAGTTACTATGCTTAAATAAAAAGGGGGAGGGGGCTGTAATATAGAACTGTATACCAGAAACCTATATAATTTTATTAACCAATGTCAGTCATCCCAATAAAGTCAATAAAAAGGAAAAAAAAAAAAGACATCTATCTTATTATAATCAAAGGCAACACTGAAAGCAAAATAGTGTGTTGCTGCCCCCTAAAGTTAATTCTAGTCTATTACATCCCTCTTTCCCATTCTTTGGTATTAAATATTGAGACCCAATGGAGTCAAGAGATCAATTTATTCAAGTTTACCCTTGGAATGAAGGCACCTAGAACATATAACGCACACAGTATTCTTCCTGCAAAAGTTCACCTTCCTTCCTCCACTTAATAACTCTAGCTTCAGTTATCTAGGGAACATGAATGAATTGGAAGATAAGTGAGGGAATTTTAAATAACTCACCTTCCATGCTCCCTCAATCTCCTGAGGCTATCAATAGCTCATTTGCACCTGAGCATTTCAAGAAAGAGAAGGCAGAAAATATTACGAGTTGTACTACTGCAGGAAAAAAAAATTGGAAGGGCAAGGAACTAAAGGACACATTTATTTAAATTATAACTACCTTTTTTTTTTTAATTCTAAAGATGATTTGCCTACAGTTCTCAACCCTAGCTGTGCATTAGAATCAACTGGGGGAACATTTAATTTACAAGAATACAGTTGTCCACATGAATTAAATCAGAATTTTGGAAGTATGGTCTTGGCATACGTAAGTTCCAAAGCTCCCTCAGGTGTTCTAATGGGAGGCCGGGACCAACAACCTTGGTTTGCTTTAATAATCTTTGTTCTTCTGTAGATTAAACCAGAAGTGGAGCATATGAAATAGCTAACCTTCTTTCATCAGAAGAGGTCCTCAAACAAGGATCACAATTTCAGGGTAGAAATTCAATAGCTAGAAATTTAAGTTTTATATCAGAAAGGAAAACTCAAATGCTCATGGGAGCCAGAATTTTTAAATCATGGTTTAAAAAAATATATTTCAGACCAAAGAAAACATGTCATATAAACTCAGGCCATATCCCATGGTTCTACAAAGCTATCTTCAGGGTTGAGGAGTCCGCTTTTGACTGAGACTGTTAGAGCTTAAAACAAGCCCTTTGAAACTCTGTTCCTGCTTACAGTAAAACGTTAGAAAAAAAGGACTGGAAATCTGTAAAACCCATGGAATTCTTCTGAAGAAAGATTCTAGGGGTTATCTATAAAAATAATCAAAGGTTTGTTTCTCTAGTAGTGCATCATGTGGAAATGACTGAATAGATTTCCCCCAAATGTAGAGGCACTCTAACTTTAAAGGGGGACAGTGCTGGGAGAGACAATTACCTTCAATGGCAGAAGGAGAGGCTGTGAGATCACTGAGCAGAAAACATGCCAAGACCTAGACTAAGGCTCTGGACTGAGAAAACCTGTCTGAGACCCAGGGTCAACCTCTGTGAATTACAGGTGTTGATGTGCCGCTTTTCTCATAAGCAGCTCTACATAGAGCACTCCAGGACAAGTAAATTCAGGAATTTCTGTATTTTACAACGGCAAACTTAATTCTCAAGCAATATAGGGTTGATGACAGCTAGCTCAAGCAATGAAATGATTCACAAAGGTTCCAAAATGTTTTTTAAGGCGATACCTTATGCCTTTAGCTTTCCCTTAACATTCTTCATTTTGGGTAGAATTTCAGGTTTTTGGTTCAAGGAGTAGATTCACACGCAATTGGTATTAAAATAACTACGAACTAACTAGTCGGAAGGCGTGGCTTCTAATCCAGACTTGCCACCCACCATCCCCAAAATCTTAAATCATTACTCAAATAATGAGCTACCGTGTTAAGCACCTGGAGCTACCGAGACCCCACTCCGCTCGCACCTGTGAGAGCTCGAGGTCAGGCCAAGCGCAAGGAGCCAGCGCAGTCATCAGCACCGCGGCGGCCAAGCGCCGCACTGCCACGGCGCGTCCACGAACGGCTTTCTTGAGAGGCACTCAATTCAAAGGTCTTCAAAGCTGAGCACACTTCCTCTCTCCTGACTGCTCAAAAACCACGTCTGGCACGAGCCCTCCTCTAAATTCTGCTTCTTTGTCGCCCGCCATCCCTAGTGGGAAGCAATCTACATCTTCCCGCCTGTGCCCAGAAAGAAACTACCCTTCAACTTACTTTTTTTCTTGGTGTCGCCGGCAGGTTCCTCTGTTCCCGGCGAGACTGCGGCGGAAGAAGGGGGCTCCGGAGTGGCTGTTCCTGGGGAGACGTCCGTAGGTCCTTCGCCGTCAGCCGCACCTGAAGGTGGGAGCTGCAGCACGGACTCCGGCTCCTCAGCCATCTTGTTCGGTTGGAGGCGAGAGCGGAAGTGGGGGGCTCAGCGTGTGCAGGAGGCGGGCTTTGCGCCGGGGAGAGTCGCTAAGCAGGCGCGCGACTAAGGGGACCAACACAACAGTGAGAGTTGGAGTTGCCGGCTGGCCCTCTACGTCGAACTTGTCGCAGACCCCTGACCGTTAATACCATGACTACTGCTTTCCCACAGCAGCGAACCTCTGGTAGGGGGCGGCGGGCTACGTCGCATAGGACCCAGAGTGCGCAGGTGCCCCTCTGACAAGCGCGCTGAGGCCTGGAGTGTTTCCGCTTCCCTCC